TAGGTAGGTAGATTGGTTAGTAGACACACACACACACACACACACACACAGAGAGAGAGAGACAGAGACAGAGACAGAGACAGAGACAGAGAGAGAGACAGAGAGAGACAGAGAGAGACAGAGAGAGAGACAGAGAGAGACAGAGACAGAGAGAGAGAGAGAGAGAATGATAAATGAGAGTGGGATGGAGGGAAGTAGATAGATAATAGATAGATAGACAGACAGACTGACAGATAGATAGATAAAGATAGTTGATAAATGAGAGAGGGGAGTAGGTGGATAGCTAAATGATAGATAAATAGACAGATAGACAGGATTATGATCATGACATTAAACTACTCATTTCCCATTCCTCTCCTCCCCACTATAATCATTACAAAGATATATTCATGGAAAAAGGTTTCTGTTCACACACACACACGCACGCACGCACACACTCACTCAAATGCAAAAGTTGCTCAGTGGGCATAGAGCCATAAACATGGCATAAAGGTTGCCAGGTTTATAAAGCAATCAGCACACAGCATCTGAGTACATGTCACAGTGAGACACTTGATAGGATGTGTGATGACTGCATCTCTGCTATTCCATATCATTTTAGCTCAAATCAATCAAAAATAGTTAGGCTGTAAATCCCAGAGTCAAACAGCATTTAGAGCATAAATAGAACATAGGATATTAAAAACTCTTTTAAATACATTGCAACATTTGTATTTATCACCTCAAATCTCTTGGCATACTAAAGTCACCACTTTTCAGCATTTTTACATTAGGTGCCTCCTTTTCTTCCATTTTTTTTGGGGGGGGGGACGCTAACATTTATAATATTCATTTTAATTCCATTCTTCAATGTATCACTAGTATTCCCATAAAACCCCTAAACTATCCCTTCCAATGTTCTCTCATTTTAGATTGATCCCAAATGATTTCATCCCATTTATTCTTAATTCTATTCCTTCTTCTAAAGGTGTCTTGTTCAGTCCTTTTCTCTCAAAATGAGGCACAACTCACTTAACAAATGTCTCATAACAACAGAAATTTTGGGGTCAATTGTGGTCGTAAATCAAGAATTCAAAGAATACAAAGAATGTATCATCCCATTCTTGGACAACAATTCCTTCTCTACATGCATTTTTTAATCCATAATCTCCCTCATTTCATCATTATGCCAAGCATCCTTTTTTGTACTTCCTGTACTTCCTAGCCTAATTCCACATATTTCAGTAGTATTTTGTAGCATAATTGTTTTCATTCTGTACCAATCAAATTGCACATCATCTTTATTGGAGAAGAATGCCTTTGAGTCTTATTGACTCCTGGCAATTGCCTGGATTAGGCCCTGCAGTTTTCTTGGCAACATTTTGGGGAGTGGTTTGCTCTGTTTCCTAGGAGTGACAGAGACTGATTGGCCCAAGGTCACCCAGTTGGCTTTGGGTTTAAGATGGGACTAGAACTCACACTTCCTTGTTTCCAGCCCAGTATCTCAACTACTATATATGAGAGTTACATATGTGTATATTGGATTTAGTAGCAAAATTGTGCCCTGCTAAGGAAATGTTTAGCTGTTTATTTTTTATGTATGACATGGTGCCTTCAGCTAAATAGCAATAGCAATAGCAGTAGACTTATATACCGCTTCATAGGGCTTCCAGCCCTCTCTAAGCGGTTTACAGAGAGTCAGCATATTGCCCCCANAAAAAAATAGTATAATCTAATAATTGAATTAGAGAAAAATTGAGGAGAAAAAAAATCATGTCAATTTTTAACGGAAAAGTGGGGGGAAAAACATTGCCAAAGAAAGGAGGAAGAAGGAATAAAGAAAATCTATTCTGAGCCTGCTTGTCCCCGTCAAAGTAGATGATACTTGTATCATTTCCTAAATGTGTAGCTATGGGATATGCTGCAATTCATGAAGGTTCATTGGATATTGGCACTAAGAGAGACTCCAAAACCTGCTTTAGGAATATTACCCAAGGTTACATGGGCATGTGAGCATTTATGTAGAAGTTAAGGGTCACAAAGAACCACATAAACCTCTACAGGAGAAATAAACATGAAAAGCTATTTGGAATCCTTTCCATGTGGAGTTCTGGAAGCATCAGGACTAGATGAACAATGGTGCCAAATATTGTTTAATATGGCCATCAATATTCATTCTCCTCCAGAGGATTTACAAAATGGAAAATCATGTTATTCTTTAGTCTGTGTTGCCTACTTCAAAAGAGGAAAGTTCCAGACATGACACTAGTGGAGTCATTTGACTTAATTAAAACATTTTGATTACCCAATTTTTAAAATTGTGTCTTTTAGGTTGTTTCCACTACCATTATGTTAGAGCGCAAACTCCCACAGTGTCTCTGGCCTCGCTTAGGCATCTGTGGAAAGGAATATGGCCTAGGTAACCAGAGATATTTGAGGTAAGTTTCATTAATTTGTGTACATCTTCTATGATAAAGAGGATATTACGCATGTGGACTAGTTACTATTTAAACCAAGTATCTATTTACTTAATGAACCCATAGCATCAATTGATATTTAGGATATGCTGGTGGATATGGGAAAGCATAAGCAGCCCAAACAGATTGACAAGTCACAGAATTAAGGAGCAAGACAAATGATAGGACTACAGAATTAAAGAAATAGTCATATAAAGCTGGCCTAGGAAGGAACAGTCTCAATACCAACTTTCTGTCACAGCAAAACAAGAGAAAAATACTAACACTTCTCTTAAAATGTGGGTTTACCCCTGTATATGTATGTAGATGATAATAATGATGATGATAGATAGATAGATAGATAGATAGATAGATAGATAGATAGATAGATAGATAGATAGATAGATAGATAGAATACCGGTAGATAGATGATGAGAGAGGGGATA